AGTTGCAGGAGCGGCGGCGGCGGCGGCGGCACTGATGCGGTCGGAGGAGTTCGAGAAGGGGCCCATCTATGCGTGTAGCGTCGAGGACGGGGACGTGGTTTGTTGTCGTGGAAGATGGAGAGGAGGCGGAAAGTAGGGGTGTGCCTTCAAGGCCGTCGCATTCGGGGAATCAGCGCAGGGCTCGAACCCGCATGCGCGACGGGCACAGGTTGGCGGCAGGTGGGCGGGGACTCGATTCAAGCGTGGGGATAAGGTATGTACGGGGACTTGAGTGCCGGTCGGTGTTGGTGGTGATGATGGTGCCGTGGTCGGGCGTCGTAGGTGGTGCCTCTGGTGGTAGGTGGCAGCCCTCGGGGCGTCCGGGCAGGTAGGTTGTCGCTACACCTGTGATCTGAAGGCACAGTCCACAGTCCACAGCAACCTTCAATGCCGGGCAATCGGAGTCGGACTCGTCAGAGTGAAATTGGGCGTGATGCCGGTGGTGCCCCTGACGCGAGTACAGACGGTTATCGATCGTTAAAGCCAAGAGATCTTTCAGTGACCGAGAAGGCTTGCGCTCTGGGGGTTGCATATGCCAAGGCTGGGACAGTGGACAAGCAACAGTGACAGCGACGGGCTGGACAGGAACGCCTGGAAGTTCCGCTGGGAAGTTGATGGGTTGTGCTTGGCTTGCCAAGAGATGTCGAAGAAGGGTGGACGAGGGTGGAGGTTGAGGAGTGGACGCCCACAGTGGATGCACCCATCCATTGCAGTGGATGTGACGATCAGAGAGGGGAATGGGGCCCGTGCGCTGCGGGAGAGGGTGCTCCAGCAGAAAGCTTGACTGTGGGCTTGCTCCCCAATCCAGCCTAGACTAGCCCTGCATCCATCCACCAGCTGGCACGTGCGTGTTCCGGATTCCGTCGTTCTTGGAGGTTGAGCTCCCGTTTCATCCTTTTTTTCTGTTTTCATAACCAAGGATAACAGAAGAGTAGACTGGCACGACTGGTAGCAACACCAGATATCCAGCGGTCTGTCGAGCCACAGGATCGACAAGTATCGACCTGCCGTCCATGGAAACAAACCCCAACATGTTCACCCATTACTCCGGACTACCATACTGGCTTGACTCCTCACCCTAGACGCTCTTCACAATCTCCAACTTAGAGAAGGCACTGTCCAAGTCTTGGCCCACCATATACCTACGCATTTGAAGACCGGGAAATATGGTGGGCAAACAAGTTGTCATCCTAACATTCAACAACACATGGTACCTTTTTTAATGGCCCCATATGTTTAGTCCATGCACATCGGACAATATCCCGAGCATCCTGATTGCTTGGTCTCCCACCAAACTCGGCGGTGAAATAGTCCTACAAAAACCCCATTTACCCGCCCAAAAAAGAATCCCTGCCCTACAGACCCAATTCCAATGCACTGTCATGCACGTAGGGACCTGGAGCTTGTTGTTGTGCCTGGAAAACCAAGCAGAAAGGGATGACGATATCAAAATCCAAACAAGAGCTCTGCCGATCTTCTTGAGAGTCTCGTAGGGCTACGCGCCACGATCTTGGCTTCTTGGCGATCTCTATTCGGTTCAAGATCGACAAGAAGATGAAAAGCCACAACGGTCCGTGACAGGACTGAGGCTTGAGAGGTTGACAGAGTCAAGAACCTCGGTTGGCCCTCTTTTGCTCTCCACCTGTTCGAGAGTCGAGACCATCAGAAAACATACGTCTTGTCACAGACATGGAGACGGCGAGATCCGCGACTAATACATAACAACATCAGTTCACATGATGGGAAAACCATTGTGGGACAAGACACTCCCAAACACTGTGGTTTTATCCATGGTGAATTGAAGTACTATAAGTCACTCCTAGATTCCCACATCTTTTGCTCATCACTAGACAACATTAACACAACAACAGTTCACACCATAAAACACCACAAATTAAAAAAGGAAAGTCTCTTCACAACCTGGCAACCAAAACAAAACCAGTCGGATGCTCCAAAAGCCGAACATGAATGCCAAGAACGGCTTGCATTGCCGTGATATGCAAAAGTTCCCCTCCTCGAGTCCTCAGTGGTCCCAGTGATCTCCTCAGTGGTTTCCTCAGCGCCTCACTCGTGACTGTTCTTTGCCGTGTTCGTCCCAGTTCGTCCGTTAGTTGGTCTAGGCAACACCCCAGCAACCCCTCTCTCAATGATACTCATATTTTGCTAGTCTCTTGGTAGGATGCCATCACAAACGTTCGATCGTCAATCACACCATGATCTTTTGTTAATGTCAACACAAGCCGTGTTTATAAACCTCTTCTCAGCCATTGACCTCGTTGTTCTATGTTCCCTTAGACCCTCATTATCATACCATGAGAATTATCCTCCAAGATGAGAGACATCGTTGACCTACCACACGACCTCTTCCTCCTCGTCATCTCTTATCTCTCTCCCCGAACATGCGTTCTTTCTCGTTCCGTCTCTCGACGATGGCACGCCGCTTTCACCGATGAACACAACTCGTATCTGTTGATGCGATGGAACTTTCCACGATGCCGTGAGATGCGTCTGGCTTCGGCCGCCGCCTTATTACCATCAGCTTCATCAGACTTTGCCAACTTGAACAACAATCTCGCTGTCGAGATCTCATGTACTTCTCGCGACCTCCCACCATGGTCCGAAACATTTGCTCTCGTGGCTAGACGCTATCACCATCTCCGTCGAGGTTCGGCCCGAGTCGTCGAGAAGCTCCAGATGGCTCGTCCAAGCCGGAGTGATAGTAACGAACCCTCTCCCATCTCTTTCAAAGGAGTCGCTACTTGGAACCGGTTCCTACGTCTGGATGACAAGACGGCCGAGTTTCATTATCCCGACCCAGCGTGGTGGTACAGTCAAGAGGACGGAGTGGTGGTCTACCCAGCGGAAGTCCGTGATAGGCCCAATACCCCATCATCATCAGATCCGGCCCACGGTTACGTCTACCACATCTTCGATCCAGCAACTGGAATCCAAATTCCTGTCCCGTTCGATGTTCGCCAAAAGCACATCCGGCGAGTTCGTCTGGCCCAAGGAGTTCTGATATTCGAATGGGCCGAAGAACATCCTTACCACCAGTTGAATGACAGAGAAGTCGTCCACCGACACTTCGTGACTGCTTTCGACGTCATCCGCACACCCTCTTCATCAGCCTGGACATGGACGATCCAATTCCGGTCAGAATGGAAGTTGCACTTCCTCGGTCTGCCCCTGAACCGATCCGATCGCTTCTTCTCCGCCCACACAGCCACGCACTACGCCGTCTACTTCTGGCAACCAAACCGCTCGCTTTACCAAGATGATCCCATTGAGCAACTCGCCGTATGGGACATTTCCTCCCCGAGTCCGTACCGTCCATCTGAGGATCCAACGGGGCATAACCGACCACCGGTCAGCAACCGGACAATTTCCATGCCTGCTGGTTTGTGGAATGGGACGGGAACACACACAACCACGACCAACACAACAAGCACAACAGCTGGACAGCCCATCAGAAAAAGCGCCAGCCCCGAGCCTGAACAAGTTCGAGAGGCTACCGGCCCCCAAGTAATCCGCCGCATGGCCTGGCGCGAACTCGACTTTTACGGTTTGCGCCAACGCGCCAACCCACAGCTGCGCAACCTTTCTCTGGATGACAGGAACCTCTATTTCATCGAGGAAGAACACCGCTGGGCTGAGGGGCAACACTCCTCCCTTAGTCCGCCTCGGGTTCACCACGTCAAGTGCACGGGAATTCCCATTGTGCCTTGCTCGCCAGCTGCTCCTATTCCTTTCTCGTCTGTCAAGGAAAACAAGGAGGAGGAGCCGTCTCATGCGCATTATTATCAGGCACTGTTCACATCAACCATCAATGACCCAGTTTATGGTCCCGTATGGGTTGACCAATGTGGTGCAGACGGGGATGTCAACATGTCCTTTTGCTCACGGGCACATACCTCTTTAACCTCTTCTCCCTCATCAGCCGTTTCATCTCTCTCCCCCACCTCAACCCTCTCTCCCTCTCTTCAAACCCAAGGTCAGGACCAAAACCAACATCTACCCCCCTCCCCACCTCTTTCCCCCAGCAGCACCACCTCCTCCAGATCTTACCCCCTCACAATCCCATCAAACCAAAAAGCCCTCCTCCACCACCTCCGCTCCCGTCCCCCATCGCCCTCTTCTTCCCAATCCTTCTTCCCCTTATCACCCTCATCACCCACCACACACACATCAACCTCCCCCCGTCACCGCCACAAAAATCAGCAGCAAGCCCTGGAGGATTTGCTACAAGCAAGCAACCAGCAACGATTCCCGGGCCTAGCCCCCTGCTGGCGCCACGAAGACTTCCCCTACCTGACCGTGGCGGAAATGGTCGATTTTGCTGCGGGCGTGCGGATTACCGCGAGGCATTGTTTTATGTTGGAGACGGTGTCTGTTTGTGTCAGGAATGCGAGGGTTTGTGTGAAGCCTGGCCCACAACTGCTGGCTGAGGAGCAGGAGGGGAGTGAGAGAAGAAGGGGAAGCGGGAGTGAGAGGAGAGGTGGGAGGCCGTTGGTTAGTGGTGAGGAGGGGCATCATTCTCGGCAGCCACCAACACCGGTGGATATCGAACCGGAAAGGAAGGGGTACAAGCGGCAGAAAAGTGAGGGGGGAGGAAAAGGTGAAGAAGTTCAATTTGCAGATGATATGTGGAGTCAGTTGGTAGGTAGAAGGGGGTATTTGGCTGGTGATGAGAGGTGGGTTTTGGGAGAGGATGAGGAGGGGAGGGTTACTGTTGTTCGGTTTTAGGTTTCGGGTTTTCCGGGTTGGTATCGGTGTTGATGTTGGGTTCTTCGGTTCGGTTGTCAGACTTTGGTTTTTGTCTTGTCCTTTTTTTCTTTTTCTTTTTCTTTTCTATATTACTTCCCCACTCTGTGTGTGTCTCTTTTTCGCTTTTTGGGTAGAGAGAGGTATACATTGGCAAGACAAATTATGGCTGGATACAGTACACAGACAAAACACAGCTATGGTAGACAGAGAAGAGAAGACAAGACAAGACAAGACAAGACACGACACCACATATAAATAGGGAGGAGTTTGAATAGGCTATAAATTACGGTTTTGTAAGCAGGAAGGCATCGGTATCGTCGGTTGGTCGGTTGGTTTGCTCTCATACGATACACCTCTCGCTCTATATTATACGCATTTTCTGATTTTTCGCATGCATCAACCCCTTTGGGAAACACGTTCTGTCCATCATTCAACCACTGCTTAGAGGTAGATTGTATTCCATCTCTTTTACGTCCTCCTTCCCCTGCTTAATCGCCCTTTGACTATCATACAACTTGCTGACAACCACCTACCAGCATATCACAAGGAGCTTATAGACACGACACCACAACACTTCTTCCCTCTCGCATAGTAAGGTAGGTAGGAAGACATCACCGTACGACACCAAAGTGACAGTCACAAAGTAGATGCACCATCTCAACCATCTATCAATCAGTCACTCTTTCAAATACTCGGCAAGTACTTTTCAAGTTGCAACCAGGTTCTTTTTAGTTTTAAAGTTCGTCAAAGCGTTGAAATACATACATACATACAGAGAATGAAGGAACTAATGTAACGAAACGGGACCAGTAAAGTCTAACTCCTTCTACGCCAAACCGAACACCACCAGCAAAGAAAAGAAAAAAAGGGAATCCGAAAATTATACTCCAACCACAACCAAACCAAGAAGAAGAGGAAGGATATTTTCCACACACCCATAACGCTCCTTCGGCGGTGCCATGTCCTCCTCATCATCCACCCCCCCTGCGTGTGCGCTCCCCTTTTTTTAATGAGTAAGGAAGTAGGTAAACAAACCTGCCTCCCTCCATCGCCGTTCCTGGGTGGGCCTCTATACCCCAAACCAAATATTTTCCCCCCTAGGCCTAGTTCCTCGTCTTCCCTCCGCGAGGTCTCATCTCATGATCGGTCGGTCTCCTTCCCTTTCCTTTTCTCGCGCGCTTTTCAGGTCCATTTCCCTCGTCCTCTTGAGGAGCAGCAACCCTCCCGCCGCTTCATTTCCCAATATTTCCCTCCAATAATTCTCCTGTTCCTCATCCACCTTGATTTTGGTTTCCAACTTTTCTAATCTCCTTTTGCATGCATATAACCTCCTCCCACTCCTCTTCCTCATCATCCACTCCCGCTTCATTCCCCTCTCCCGCGTCATCATACTAGGCCATCGCAGGAGTAGGAGGTACCTGCAAAAACCGGTCATAGTAAGTGTCAAGCCACTTGGCCGCCTCCTCACCTGCATCATCCACGCTCGAGTCCCACCTGCCGATGGAGCCAACGTAACCATCGGGACGGACGTTGACAATGGCCACCTCTCCCGGACCCAGGCTGCCAAGCCATTTGTTAGTGCAGAGCTGGCCGCGGGTATCGAGCTCGGGGATGTCGTCAAGGTAGAAGGTCCAGCGGCTGTCTTGGAAGAGAGCGGGGAGATCGGTGATTTCGATTTCGGACTTGGGCATTGTGGCTGGATGGATCACTGTCAGTACAAGGTCTGGTTTCCAAAGAAAAAAAGGGGAAAAAGGGAAACTCACTGATCAAACCAAAAGTAAACAAATGGCTAACAGCCGTATACCGCTCCGGACGAAGGTAGATGTCTTCAGGAGCTGGTAGACGGGGCTGCTTAGCATACGAAAGGTTGGCGGCGGCCGAGAGCTGGTTGATCAAAGAATCAGGCGAGTTCAAAGCCGCGCAGAAACCGTCCAGGAAGATGCGCGACTGATGGACATCCCACATCAACAGGTAAATCCGGAACTGGCCCAACATGGGAATATCCAGCTGGATATCAACCGGGTTCGAGTCCAAATAGCGAGTGACCTTTGCAGGCGGGAGCAAGCAGCCGGGCTTGGCGTCACCCATAACCCACGACTGCGGCTCAACCATGTTGATGGCGTTCTCACCATACTCCGCACCAATGCCGGAGATGAAGCGAACGTTCGTCTTGAAGTTTTCAGCCAGAGCGACAGCGTCTCCTCCGGCAATCTGGTTGGCGTGCTCATAGTCAAAGTTGACCAAGTCCAGCGCAATCTTCCTCCGCTCCTGTTCGTAGCTCTCCAGCAACGCGGGCTTCGCAAGGCCACGGGAGGCAAAGTTGAGCTTCCAGCCAATATTCCAGGCATCGTGCATCGACGTGTTCATACCCTGCGCAGCCTTGGGCGAGTGGGTGTGGCTGGCATCACCGGCCAAGAAGGCCCGGGTATGAGGGTCTTGGAAGCGGTTCGCAACTCTCTGGCCGATCTGGTACCTACCAAACCACTCAATGTATTTCCACTTGACACTGAAGGGCGCCATGATCTCCTTGGCGCGCTGCATGACAAAGTCCTGACCGAGAATGTTCCTGTCACCCTTAGTGCTGCTCTTCAGTTCAATGTATAACCTGGTCATGTTCCGCTCTCGCGGAATGATAAGAATAGAGCCATGCTCTTGCGAGTAGACCAATGTCTTCGACCAAATGTCTGGGAAGTCCGTATCAAGCTCGCCGTCGAGGACACCCCACAGCGAGGGCTGCGACAAGCCAATGGGCTTGGCATCAGGGATGCTTTTCCTGACCTTGGAGTGCGCACCGTCACCTAGGCAACGCATTCAATGTTAGCATAAAGCGGAGTCCTTTTCAGGGGGCAGCGCCGCCAGCGCCGGCAGCGGCAAGCGGCAAGCGGCAAGCGGCAGCGGGAAATCCAGGGGTAACACCCACATCCAACCAAATATTGCGTCAAAAGCGTCTTCCGATCTTGCGTAACATTCGTCAAGCAGTTCACCTGGAGCGGCCCATTATTTCCGTCGCAAACGCTATATGAATCGAAAGCGGTGTTTCTCCGCACTTCGACGCCGCGCTTCTTCAAGTCCTCGATAAAAAGACTTTCGACCATGCCCTGGTGGACCAACAAAATGTAGGGGTCCAGCACATCGATTATAGGGGGGTAGTGGATTTCACGGCCGAGGCGGTGGAGAGGTTCGTCGGTTGTACTCCTCCAGAAAGCAATGTCGTACACTCGAACGCCGCGCTGTAGTAGAGGGTCTGCCAGGCGCATCTGGCGGAAAGTCTCGATCGTCTTGGGTTGCAAACCATCGGCTCTGTTGTTTTGTGCATACAATGTTAGAAAAACACTTTCTTATTCCGTTGTCGCATTGTCATGTCGGCGTGGCGTGTGAACTTGCCTCCCCACAGGGGTCTGATCCGCCCTGTCATCCACCACTTCCACCTTGACACCGAAACGGCCGAGATTGCAAGCCAGCATCAGGCCAGCCGGACCGGCACCGACCACGCACACTTGACATTCTACCGGCGGTTCCGGCATGCTCCTAAGCAAGGTCAGACGATCAATACAGGCGTCGTTAGCAGTGTTGGCCATGTGCGAGTCGCCTCCTTGTTGCTCCTCGGTGGATGGCTTTTCGAGAATACCGGGAGCCATTGTTGTATTAACGGGGGGACGCGAAAGGTCCCAAGAATGATGTTGGATAAGCTTTTGGATCGTTGAAAGGGGTGGGCGCAACAACTGTCTGCTGAGCCTCTTTCACGCGTTCACTTCGAGATGGAATAGGGCTGTCACCATGCGCCAGTGACAAGGGAAGTGCCGTGTGATTCGCCAAGGGGATGGCTTTCGTCTAGAATTCTCGAACGATGCGGGATGAATTTGGTTCGACTCCTGGACGATATCGAGCCGCGGTACCGGGGCTCCGATGATAGCTGGATGCTGGCGCAAGGCGTAGTGTAGTAGGGCGGGGTGGATGGTAGTGTTGCGCTGCAGCAGGTGAACAGCTAAACTTGGTCTGTACTGGTGACGCTGGGAATGGGATGGGTTATGGCTGGTTCAAAGTAGACAAGACGAGACCGAGCTAATCTTTTGGGACCGAAGTTCTTCGTCTCGGTCTTGGAGGTCAGCTGGCGGGTATGGGTGTGAAGCCGAGCGGCGTCCGGTACTTTGCAATGGGCAGAGCCAAGAGTTGATGTGCTTCGATGCGGTATGCTGGTGGCCAGGCTGTGTGTGTGACAAGAAGAGATCTGCAGTGATGGTTGATGAATACCACACAGTGAACTCGGATGAAAAGGTGTAAAAGCAGCCTTAAGAGGTAGCTGGCGTGTCGGTAAAAGGTATACAGAGTACGAGAGCTCGAGTTGTCGATGGTAGGGTATTCCAAGATACTCCGGATTATGTAGCTAGCTAGCTACAAAGTTACAACAATAGTAACAGCAACAGCAGGTCGACGGCAAAATCGGTTAGTGGATCGGGTGTTTTGTCGATATGGCGAGATTGCAGGAGACTGCTAGCATTGCAAGAGTGGACAAATACTAGCAGCTAAAAAGCCGGTGGACTGGAGCTGAAGAATCGATATCGGGGTGGATGTTGATGACTGGATGGAGATGCCTCGTGGATGAAAGGAAGGGGACAAACAAAAAAGTAGTTGTATCTTTTTTGGGGAACGGGAAGAATGGAACTCGGCCTCTACACTATTCCAGATGACTTGACAGGGCAGTAGCTTCCATGCTTACAATTGCTTTCTCCCTGGTGAATTCTACCAGGCATTCCAATACCAAGGACTGCCCCTGGGCATGGCAAAAAGAAGGCCACACGGCAAGAAAGGTGGGAGAGCGACATTGTCGAACAGTGCGATGGATGCTGGAATCATACTTCTGGCTCGTCGACGACAAAGCGGATACAGGCCGATATCACGATTCGTTTTGCGCCTTATGGTGGTCTGTTTTGTGCAGTAAATGATCTGATCTGGCCGCGACAAAGCCCATTGCGGCGCTCTGATTGGACCAAGAGACCGGGGTGGTCTGTGGCCACCCCGTCTCAGGTCAGGCCAGAGACCCAGACCAAGCAAAGGGGACCTGGCGCCATGGCCGTTAACAGCCCGCGTCTTGGCAAAATACTTCGCAGAACTCATGGAGCCCAGGGAAGCCCCTCGACAACTGAACCATCACCGAAACAACATCCCATCCGTCTACGCTGAGGAAAAAAAGGCTAGCAAAGCAGAGCAATTCCCTCATACCAGGAGAACCCCGATGCGAGGGGAATCATGACCCTCGCATATCAGCCGACGAGTTTCTTTCCCTTTTCTAGAAAAGCGCCAAGATCATAAGATGGCGCCCACTTATCGAATCGTCATAGATACATTGGTTTCGGAATGTCAATAACAACTAACAAAATCGTAATGTATTTCTCCTCCTTTTGTGGCTGCCCCGGCCGCCGTAACCGGACCCTTCATTCTTCATCCGTTTTTTTCTTCAGTTGAACGTCTCATGTCCGTCGATGTAGTGCCTGTGTATATATTATATTGCATCAACATGAGCCGCGACCGTTAGCTAAGGTACAATGTATGCTAAGTTCACCTTGCTTATTGTAGGCGGACCGACGGACGGACGGGATGCGCAGCGGCAACAACGGTTCAGCACACAGCCAACGGTCGGTCAATAATCAACGGCCAACGGTCAAAACATCCAACGGTCAAACTCGCGTCGGCTGGGTGAGTGGTCGTGACCGTTATCCTTCACAGTGCATTCCCAAACCAACAGACGAGACCACAACGGATCGATCGTAAGACAGCTTTTGTCCAAATACTACATAGCTCGCTACATATCCACTTCTCCAGATTCCGGGTCCGGGGTGACTGAGCCTCTTTCTCTTCATCCAGACTGTGCATCCAGACATCCAGACGGGCGGATGGCATGGTGCCATTTTCCTGACGATTGACACAGGAAGCGAAAAAGTTATAAGCATCACCCCTCCTCGCGGAGGGGTCTGGCCAGGCTCTTTTTGGAACATGTATGTCGACGGCCTGGGCACGGGTAGGTACTACCGAGGTAAGATGAGACATACAACACTAAGTACGGTACACTGCGACTTGATCCATCTGATTAGATAACACTCACAGCAGCAACGAGAAAAAGAGGTGTTTGTCCTATTATCGGCAAGCCATGTTTCAATCACGGAGATTAAACCAAGAGTTTACCTAGCAACATCTAGAACTGGCAGGCATATCAATCAATACAATAACCCTGGTTTGCTTGCTAGTCTGGTATAGAAAACGCTTAGTTCCACACCCTTCGAGCTGCTAAGAGTAGAAAAGCATTCGGGCTTCAAGTACACGTGTAGAAGGGGACAGCGTTTTTATATTTTCTTCTCTAAGGGTCCTATAAGAGACGGAGTGATGTAGAAGAGAAGACGGAGAGATATAAGAAAAGCGGCTCTCGTGGCGCATTAGACCCTGGTCATTGTCAATTACTTCAAATGAAAATAAGAAGAAGGCCAATGAGAACTCCAATTCTCTCTTATTCGACCCTTGTCCGAAGAACCAAACTAACAAACCAGTATTGTATTGTAGAGGTATCTTGAGAATCGCTTGTGCTCTGACAATGTGTAGTGCAGACATCTTATCTTCTGCCAAGCAAGCATAACCAAAAATTCCAATCCCTCCACGGCACCACATACATACATATATACATAACCCCCCCTCTACGTCTACACTACACTAATCATGACCCCCACCGGTAGGCGTAATATCCCTCTTCCCAAACCTCGCTCCCAACGCTCCGATATCCCTCCTAAAGAAATTCCCAATATTCTTCAAATTCTCATTAATCGTCGCCTTTTCACTCGCCGTTGTACTTGCTGTTGTCGTCGCTGTTGTTATCCCGCCACTTCCTATCGTTGCACTTCCTTCGGTTGTTCCTGTCGTACTCATGTCCCTCGCCGCACTCAACAACTTTTCTCCCAAACTCGTCGCCGCATCAAACCTGCTTGTTACGCTACCACTTCCCATATGCGATGATGCATGATGACCTGGGACTACGATGCCGCCGATGCCACTGCTTCCCATGGACGCAAACAGCGGGGTTAGAAGCGGGGAATTTTGGACCAAAGTCCGGCCTACGCCGGCACCATCGCGGTGGATGGAGAACAGCTCGAGGAGGTGGGAGTGGTCCTTTTTGGGAACGCCCTTGAGTTCGAGGATGCGCTTGAAGTTGGCGTCGGAGCGGTCGCCGATGAGATTGAGGTAGGCTTGGACGAGTCCCTCGGGAGGGGAAGGGCGGACTTGGAGGGTCTTGAGGAGGGGGTCGATCTTGGTCATAGATTGGTTGACGCGCTTGATGTAGCTTGCCGGAGGGGGAGGCGGGGGTGGAGCGTTGGGGTCTGAGGGGGCACCTGGGGGTGGGTGGTTGGTGTTGTGGAAGGAGAGGAGGTTTTCAAAGGCTTTGGTTAGGATGTATTTGTCTAGGAGCATCTGTTTGAGGTTTTGTTGTTAATAAGGGATTCTGTTGGTAGGGAAAGGGGGTGAGAAAACTATACCTGCTCAGCGCCAACTTCGCAAACAGGGCGGCATTGCACCACGTTGCCGATATACGCGTTGGCCATGTTCTCCACAAGATGATCGCAGAACGCGCGAGCATATTGCGGCTTGACCACCAACGGGAGGATCTCCGCCGTCTTGCCGTTGACGTTTTTCAGCAGCTCGCTCACGTACGAGCTGTGATCGCTGACACTTTCCATCCTGCTCCAGTTCGTGTTCTTCATCTCCCGCCATGCCGGTTCGCAGTCCACTTCAACCTTGTGCACCAGGGCAAGCACAGCTGCACTTGCCACGCCCATAAAAGCGTCCGCCTGACTCGAAAGATCAACCTTGGATGCCATTTCGGGGTCGATCCGCTTCTTGATATTGTCCTCAAGTTGGTTGGCATTGGTGTGCCAAAAGTCCGCAGTGTTGAGAACCAATATGATATCCTGCACCGGAGGCCCCTGCGGTCCTCCGCGCTGGAGGATGGTAAAGAGGACTTGCTGGGCGTATTCGTCCAAGTATTTGGCCAGTGTTTTGGCCAGATCCAACAGCCGCTCGCCAGTAGACAGCTTGGCGCACTGTGAAAGCGTGAGCTTGTAAAAATGGAAGAGTTCGATGGCCGAGGGGATAACCGCCTGTGGGGAGAACTCCTCGTCTGGCGGTATGAGCGGTTGCGACTTGTACTTGGGTATCATCCCAGTCAGCGTCTTGTCCTGCGACTCGACCCATAGACTGAGATACGGTTCGAATGCGACCGAGATAGAGCCATTGAAATTCGACACCCGATCATCCGCCGAGCTCAAAGTATCGATGCTAGCCCGAACCTCGCTCGAAAACCGGCGCTCAAGGCTTTGCTCAAAGTCCATCGTCTCCTGCAAGCAACTCAACAACAGATTGACATCGATTTTGTTGGTACCTCCATCCGTCCTCCGCATGCTCTTCTCCAGTATTCCCTTGAAATCCTCCCTCGTGCCATCACAAAAGGCCATCGATAGCGTTTCGTTCACGCGCCAATGGGCAGGGAAAATGGCAGCATGCTCGCCCTCATGCGTCTGCAACATCCTTCTGAACCAGGCATACCTCCGCCCAATATTGTCCAAGCTGCCTGCCTCGTCGTTGCCCCGGAAGACGGAGCGGTATTCGCGCAACTCGGTGTTGACGTACCACGTCATCAACCGCGCCTTTGCCTGCTCTCCTAGCGCGTCCATGACCAGACAAGCCTCCGCCAGCGTGCCGCGCCGGGCGGCAACCTCCCCCTTGGCGAATGCCAGCTCAAAGTCCTCGCACACTTGTTCCAGGAGTTCGCGTTGTAGTTCGCTGACGTTTCGGCTCAGGACGGCGATTTGTTCGATGCTTCGGTAGCTGTTGAAGTGCCGCATCAGCTGCAGCACGGCTTGTAGGAGGCCGGCACATTCGCGATATTGGCGGGTCTTGGCGAGGCCTCGGAGCTGATCGTAGGCGGTGGTGAGCATCTGCAGGCGCTTGAGGGCGGTCATGCTGTGGGTGAGGTTGCGCTTGGTGCCATCGAGTCGCTTGATGTCGGCAGTCATGGTGGTGATGTCTCGTTCGGTCTGCAGAGCGCGGTTGCGGACGCTCTCGATGCGCTGGAATAGGGAGGCCAGCTCGGCCTGGGCGGACTGCATGCGCTCGAGCGACGAGTCGGGCCCGTAGGCCTGGGCGGTCTCGAGCGAGTCGATCGACTTGGTGAGCTCATCTTTCTGTCGCTGGAGTGTGGAAGATACGCGGCCGACGGAGGAGACGGTGGACGGGTGGGAGAAGAGGAGGTTGAGGTGCGCGATCGGGTCGTATTCAACTGTGATCGGCGGCGACAAAATGGTTTTAGTATGATGACGTTTGTCAGTAATACCAGGACCCTGTAATAGCTGAGACCTGTTGTAGATGGATCACAAAATCACGTACCCGAATCAAGCGATAACTGCTCCGCCAAAACGATGTTCATGATGGCGGCTTTAGTGGTAGAGGTAGGGAAAACGAGGGGTAGTAGTAGTAGTCTCAGCTTTGTGTGGTGGGAAACGGTGTCCTCGGGGAAACCCAATCATCCATTACCTGGTAGCTTCCCGCCGGAGAGACGAAACAGAATGTTGTGGAATCTCGAAGCAAAGAAAAAGGAGGCTTCCGCTTCCAGAAAACAACCGTGACAGGATCCAGGATTCTCGGCCGCTGTTACACCGTAGCTTTCCCCGGTTACTGGTGTTATTGAAGTGTCCACATGGGGGGATGGGATGTTATGGATCAATTGATCTTATCGCTGATTGCGCTCGATATGCTGTCAGCAGCAAGGAGGCCTGCAAGGTACCTGGGTGGCCTGTGCTCCCTTCCACGAGTGGAACAAGACAAGGTCAAGGGAACCATCCTGGCTTCCCGCTTTTCGGGGGGGGTTTCGGGCGAGGTCCGGTGCCCCGTTAGGCCCCCGCCGGCTCCGTTCACTTCCAACGAACGGCGGCATTGCCGCTCTCCCCGCTTCGGGCCCCGCCGTGAGCACCTTCCACGGCTCCACTTTCGGGTACCATCACCCTCTTTTCAGCTCTGGTACGCACCACCAAATTTCCGCCATTACCGGCGTGAACCGGTCGACACTGGACAGAGGCACACATCACCAGTGTATCTCCTCGACGACTGGTCCCATATCTTCTGAATGGCATACATATCCGGTCGATCAATCTTGTTTCAGATGGCAGATGCAGGTTGGGTGGTCAACAACGCAGGCTTGGAGTCGAACACTGCAGCAGGGTAATGTTCAGGCGCAACGGGTTCATCTCACATAGGGCACGTAAGGTTCATCGCCATCATCACCATCAACGACGTTCCTTAGCGCAGTGATCCTTCTTGTTTCATCATCTTTCCTCATATGCAACACCTGCAACGTCTTGATACAACCATCGGTCGAACTACTGTACTGTACTACCTAAAAGGAGTCCACTTGTAGTGTCCTCCTGCGTTTCAACCCAACTTGTAACTCCCCTCCTCTCGTCCGCAGATCAGATTGCTGCAGTCATGATTACTGTAGTATATTCTGCTGGCTTGGTTCTTTGTTAGGTTCCCAACAGTACGGTAGCAAATGGGCAGCAAGCGTCGTCCATGTACCTAAAAGGGATGGTTTCTGTAAAAGGGAGGGAAAAAAAAGCCTTGGTCGGCGTTCGTGCCAGCAAAGCAAGATTCAAGGTGGAAAGTGGTTCGAGGTCTGCATTTGCTAAACCGTTTCGTTGCTGTTTTAAATGTCGTTCTCTTATCAGGTGCATCATTGTCAGAGCCGCAAACGCCAAGTTTTTTTGGTGTTCTTCTAGAGATCAAGGTGTGAAGTACAGCAATTTGGGTTTGAGATATGGGTTACGTCCGTTCATGCTGTTATCTTCTTCCATGGCTTCACCTTATCTTTTCTCCTCTTACGTAGTTGGATATGTCCAGACCATGCTTTGAGCTCAGCTGGGCTGGGTAGGTTTGAACAGCTTCGGTTTTGTTCTACCATTTCTTCTCCCGGTTTTCCCTTCTTCTTTAAATTTCCGAGTAACCACACCCACCCTTACAGCCCGCCAAAGACAAGGACATATCCCATCTCAGCTTACGTGGTATTTGGGGTTTCTGGGGTTGTTTTTCTTTACTTCGCTATTTGACCCATTAACACGATCGGGTTCATGCACCCCTGGGTTGGTTGCTCAGCTTGTTGCGTAAGTGTCTGGCCCGTCTTTTGTCGTGCCACCAACGTGGCTCGCCACCGCAGAGTTTAGTTTCAACAACAGCCAATGGGGTGAGTACACTTACATGGGCGTAACAGTCACCATGACAGGCACGTGAGTACAAAATTCCAGTCTCCCTTTTGTATGTTATAAGAATTTCTTGGACAGCGACGGTGAATCTGGGTTGGAGATGTGGAAGTTCTCGGTATTCCGGTTAAGCATCTAAAATCCTTTGCCCAACGGGCAAGCGGATGTCTGTTGTTCTTTCCAACCTTCGGTTTTCGGGAATAAGAGTGAATAGTTTCATTCTTGAAAACCTACGCTGATGCATGGGAGGTGGGATAGAATGGATAATAGAATCTCGTCTTTGATTGGTGGAAGAGTGTATCGAGACATGTAGGGAACAAGACACCCAATATGCGTTTACAGATCCCACCACCATCCGCCGCTAGGTGAGGGAACGTTGGGCGACATGACAGATCACACGCATATGTATCATCGACCCATCTGGCAGAATATGGTAGACAGCAATGTGTGAAGAAAGAAAGCTTGTTGAGGATTGCTTCTGGTCCAGCAGTCTACCCATTTTAAAGTACTGTACAACTTTGCCCTGTTGCTTACCCCTTTTGTTTTGGTATCTCCTTTTACAGCGAAGCGACCCCTGGTCACTTGCGGGCTGCGATGTGAATGGTCGAAACTGAACTCCTAAACCCGAAACTTCCGAACTTGAGAGAAGAACATACCAGAAGGCAGATGAGGAAATGAAAAAGAACGCCCAAAGAAAAGGAAACCATACGAAAAGAAAAGAATGAAGCGAGAGAACAAGAGAGAACTGAACGCGAACATGGTATCTCGAAAAGACAAAAGAAAGAAAAGCTGTGTACCCGTCACAAGGGTTGCTCTTGTAAGATCGATGATCTTCAACGCTCCATTCATCAAGGGGCGAACTTGTTGTCATGCAAAGAATCGAGCGCCACGACTCCAATGCCCAAAAAGTCACCAAGGTGTCATTCATGGTAGAGACATGCATGCAGAGACGCCAACCGAAACGGCGTCCAATGACAGATGTCAGCCACACTTCGCTGAACGAGTGAGGCTATGCAGAGCCTCGGGACGACCACGTTAGCGGACAGGGCGCTCTAGACTACAGTGGCTGCTTGTGTTTCAGCTCACGCTGCTGTCAAGACACTCAAGAGCTATGCAGTGTTCGGAAACCCGCCGTGATTAAGCTCCTTTTACTGTCTTTGACATCCGATGGTGCGCTCGAGTAAAAGAGGCCCTGGATGAGAATAGCATCAGCGATTTGTTTTCGGATCGGAGAACGGCCTGTCCAACTGAGTATCTCGGAGAGAAAAACATGGTACTCTGTGGAAGCAGTGGCCAATGAAACATCGGGAAATGTGGGAGCGACTTACACCGAGTCCCTTTTGCTTGCAAAAAGTGGCCTTGGCCTTCACTGTGTCAGGATTATCGTAAGTGACGAACCCACCGTCTCCGCCCACACACTGGGCGGCAACGGCCCGCTTGTCAACTTGTTCCTTCGTTCCTCGCCGTGGTAGCTGGCAATACTCGAAGGATCCGTCGTCGCCGCCTCCGGCCCCCTGGAACTTGTGACCTGAGCCGCTCGCGTGGAGAAAGCTGCGGCCAAAGAGGGGGATCCCAAACAAGATTTTCTTGCCCGGGACACCGGAAGCCATCAGATACTGCACACTCGACGCCCCTGATGCTTCATCCTTGTTCATCGCGTAAAGCTGGGAGTGGTGCCCGCTCCTGTGTGACCAAGGACCAAAGTAATCATACGCCATAAGATTAATGGAGTCCAAGTATTCAGCTGCCTGCCGCAGATTGATATTCTGCAATATGGGCTTGGCCCCGGGGAGAGCAGCGGTGAGCAAGTAACGGTCCTCGGGGAGGTGGATGCGAATCGCGGCCAGTAAAGATACGAAGTCGCTTCCTTGTTGAGGGGAGCAGGGGTAATCCCATACAACTGGTGCTGTCAGTCAGACATCTCAAGAAGATCATTGGGGATTTGTACTCCTGTGGCAAGGCAAGACTGATTGGGCCTCTTCACGCGTACGTGGTCATTGGCTAGGATGAGGAGCCGGAGAATATGAGGAGAAGGGGAAGGAGACATACTGTCTATCCCATCCAAGCCGGATGCTTCCACAAGGCCGCGAGCGGACTGTGCAAAGTTGTCACGCAGGATGGGGCTAGAAGCCACCAGGGCGAATGTCTCACTGGAAGCGCCGCCCCCAATGGACAAGACCACTTGCAGATGGTGATATTTTTGCTTGAGATGCATCAAGGACCCGAGAGCCCCCTGAACGCCGTCGCAAGGCGCTGTGGCATCTGCCCACTCATCGCTAAGCTACCGAAACAGGTCAGCTGGAATCGTCAACCATGGAAGATGGCGTCGGAACAAACTTACAAACACCCCTCCGTCGGGCATGATGTTGGCAAAGGCATAGTAAACACGGTTGATGCAGCCGTAGTTGAGTGAACCAGGAGTGTCACCCCGGTAGACGCTGTGATTCGGCCAGTATACGGCATTGTTGTAGAGGACGTTGGCCGCGCTTGTGATGCGCGACTTGCGAGAAACAGAGGGAAGCTCATGGCCAAAGCGTGGACTGGACTCCTCTAAACGTGATGATGGAGACCAGGTGGGCGATTTAGGGCTGGAGCGGGAGATGAAGGAGGAGACTGATGGAGAGCCCTCGAAACATGGAGAAGTGGACATGACCACGGAGATAATTTATGGATGGGGGAACCAAGGAAGCAGTACCGGAGACTTGATGAATGAGGCTTGTGCCAGCTCATTTCTGTTGGACCGATGTGTTTGAGGTGCTGCTGGTCGGGCAGCAAGGACGGAAGAAGAGTGGCAGATTGCCTTGACGTGCGTCTATATAGCTACCCTTCTTCTGATGGGACAACTGGTTCCCAGACCTTGGGTTCTTGGGACGGTGAGCAAACCGGGCAACTTGCCCACGACAGTGGAGCTATTAGGCAGATACCCGAATTGGCTCAAAGATCGGAATTGGCAAGCCCTAGTTGCTGCATGACATGACGTTGTCTGCGAGGGTGTGTCAGTGATGGGAGAGGGTGTATTGAGGAACGGAAAGGATAATTGGTACCTCTATGGGCACGCCAGAGATGGATCGCTGCGAATCCACAAAACCAGCGAAGCACGTCAGAAAGAGTGGGAGAAATGTAACGAGAATGCGGGCGGCTAACACTGGAGATACCAATTGGATGTACGAGCTAGTGA